AGTTTAGTTGTATGGATAAAGGCCCTGAAAGGGGCCGAGTTAGTGGTCTGGTTGGTTCTGGCGGCGCACTCTTGCTCGTTCTCGGAGTCCTCGGAGTGTGTGGATCAGAGGCTTCCAGGACAGGCTCAGGTGAAGTCCATCTTCCCTGTTAAAGTTATCAGGATGAAGTTCGATCTCGATGGCTCCTCACACCCTATTGGCATATTCATCGCCCTGATGACGGAGGCAGTATGACCTCTGAAACGTTGGTTAACATCGACCAGACTACACAGCGCAATAACCCAGAAGACGGAAATCTTCAATTCAAATATACTTCACATTAAACGACACAGCAAAAGAAGATCTTATTCCACATCACATTTGACTTAAGAGAGAGAACGTGAATAATAAGGGATTGTAGAAAATTAAGCAATGCGAAGCTTCATAATTTGAAAGTCTAGCCCAAACGTAATATTGTTAGGGTGGTTAAACAAAATATATGACGTGGATTATAGATATAACACGCACGGTAGAATGATAAATACACACTTCTGGTGGTAAAACCTAAACAAATATAACTAAACTGGGGAATAATATTAAAATATATCTCAGATATAGAGCGTGAAGGTTTGGAATGGATTCAGTTAGCTGAGGATAAGATCCAGTAACGGCTGTCTCTTCTGAACGTCGTAATGAACATCTGTATTTTATAAAGGCAAGAAATTTATTGATCACCCTACCAACTATCAGCTTATCCAGAAATATTATATCAATAACAGCATTCAAGAAGCTGGAACAGAATAAGCTACTAGCAACGACATCAGAGAGCACGCTTGCAAAATCCACGAGCATCGCATTTATCACAAACAGATTCACATTAGGCGTCCGTCTTATTAACTTCGTGCAAAGATGGCAGAAACGTTTTATAGGGTTATGCGTTATTCTGGAGAAGGCTGAGCGTTTATAAGAACAATATGGCGTCACGAACACAAGGACACTGAGTCAGGCGACTCTAGCTTTATATTTTAATCGAAATATGGGATAACAAGCCTTCATTATCCTCCTCCTTTCCACATTCCAGACGTCAAACTCGGCCTATACCCACGCAAAATAACCAAATAAAACCCTACACTATTGTCTCGAGGTATGAGATGAATTGAAAGATTCATTACTCGACTCATGTATCCTCTTCGAAGATCTCGGGTTTCATTATCGACCGTAGGTTGTGTGAAAATGTCCCCTGTCTCTCCATACAAATGTTGAACTTGTTACCTTAAAATATCCACAACCACAACGGATTCCTTCCGCTTAATTACTTCATAGTGCCCGAATTTATAACTTGTGTTGGGAAAGGCCGTGGTCTAGGCAACACGGAGTTTTCCTCCGGGGGCTTCCCCGGTTTCTCCGTGGCATCCCAACAATTACTCCATTCACACACAGAAGAAGGCAATGGCAAACCACTTCTGGATCATCTGCCAAGAACGTATATGAACTGGTCCCAGTCCGAGAAAAGGATGGAAGGATCCTGTTCATATGGACCTGTCGTCAGACAGAACACTAAATAAAAAAAGTGCAGGATATTCAGGAAAGTACATATTGATCTGGTAAATAAATTATTTTTAAACACGTCCGAAGTTTCGATACGGTGGTACCAAAATCATGCCGTTGGACCATACCCTGAGACAGTTAAATCAAATCACACCTTAAGATCTACTCTGTATTAAACTCGTTTAGATAACCTGTCCACAACGTATTCGAGATAAATTCTGTACTTCACCCAACGAGTGTTAATGTCACACTGATTGGCATAATGAGCGTAACAACAACAGATAAAAAAATAAAAATTAAAAACCTGCTCACTGTAATTTTATCCGTCGAATTCCTGTTTGTGCCTCGCCCTTAAATACCAAAGTTCTCCTAAGGGCTTTGCTCTCAGGCACATTAAATCTATGTTAGTATGAAGATGGCTGTCTTCTGGGTTGAAGCACCGTGTATTCTGGTATTAGTTTATCGCCGTTTCAGAGGTCCTTGCTGCCTACATCATCTGGGCGATACTCATCGCAAGGACCTCTGAAAGTTTCGTAAACTTCTATCAGACTACACGGCGCTACAACCCAGAAGACAGCCATCTTCGAACTCATCGCCGTGAAAACCTCAAATGCTACTTATGCAAAGCATGTTTCTCCCTTTCACCAAGTTCCACACCCATAAGAATAATAGTTACAATTATACTTCTTTGTACGCCCACTTGAATCTGTTGGTTTCTAGACAGGAGATGGGAGATACAGGAATCTGAGCTGAAGCAAGCACTTCCCCTTATCTAACGTGCTATTAATTCTGACATGAAGATCGCATCTTCTCAGTTCACGTAGCAGCAAAGTACTGGCACGCGCAGAGTGTAGCATTCTGTGTGGGCGATCTCGCGACCTGGCCAGAGGAAGTTGGAGTTGAGATCCTAACGCTGTTCATATCAACAGATACAAAAATTCCGATGTCACCATGCATAAGATTTTATCTCCAACTATATTTTTTTTATTTAGTGTTCTGTCTGACGACAGGCCCATATGAACAGGATCCTTCCATCCTTTTCTCGGACTGGGACCTGTTCATATACGTTCTTGGCAGATGATCCAGAAGTGGTTTGCCATTGCCTTCTTCTGTGTGTGAATGGAGTAATTGTTGGGATGCCACGGAGAAACCGGGGAAGCCCCCGGAGGAAAACTCCGTGTTGCCTAGACCACGGCCTTGCCCAACACAAGTTATAAATTCGGGCACCGCCGGGAATCGAACCCGACACCCCAGACCACGAATTAATTCAGTATCTAAACGCATTCACAATAACAGAAGCTCGTAACAAATAGTCAAGTAATCACATTACAAAGAATAATGAAATCATATATACAAGCTGGAAACGAGAATAAGAAATAAACATATTCATGGTTAATTTGCTTTCAGGCTTCCTATTTGATAGCTAATCAAATAATTATACAAATATTTCGGTTTTTTGTTCAATTGTTAATTATGTCACACATGTTTCGATCCTAATAGGATCATCTTCAGGTAGTTACGTATAGGATACTTCTGACTGCTGAAGTTAATGTGGATATGATAATACATTAATAGTTAAAATGGTTTTCAATTGGACACAAGTTATTAAGGTAAAAATAAAATTAAAATTAATTCAACAAAACAGTGTAATAACAAAAACAGATAACGATATTTGTTTAAATTTATGTGTATGTTAAAAATATTATATTACATTATTATTTTGCTCTCTGCTGCTGTATGTCTCGTATGCTGTGCCAAGGCTGTCTTCTGTATACAAATTTTTCTTCTTCGAAATGGGGTGTACTGTGTCTGAGCGTCGAATTCTGGACGATTAAATCTTGCGAATCGCAGAGTGAAATGGGAATTTTATCAAAAGCCTTTGTCGTTGGGTGGAAGTCCGTATATATGTATGTGAGTCGATATTTTATACGTTTAAGTCTTTCAAACTGTAAAGTGAGAGGAGCATCATACCGAAAAGGTGGCTGTGGATAAATCTAAGCAGATGTGAACGTGTTTTCTGCTGTAAAAAGACTCTTTTGGACACTACTGAGTACTTATTTACAACATACTATTCTTTTACGTCCCACGGATGGATGGTGTGGTTATGCCTTTTTATTCTGGGACTTTCACTTTTTTAATTTGTCCGGAGATAGGGATTAGCTCTATCTAGTGGGCCCAACTGAGTAGGAACCTGAAGACGGAGATAGAGCCCCATCTCCGAAACGTCGTTTTACGTTTTTTACGTTTTATTACTAGACGATGGATAATATCCAAGTAAATTTTACATTTAATTTGTTTATTTATTCTTCCTGTTTTTTTCCAGCTGATCTGATCACGTACACGACAACACTACATAGAAAGATGAGAAGAAATATCCATGCCCAAAGCGGGATTCAAACCCATAATCCCAACAACCAAGGTGTCTCAGACCTGTTTCAATCGACCTTGTACGAAAAGATTAAATTCGAAAAATTCTCGCAATCATTCGGTTAAGAATCTTATATCTTCCTATGTAATATCTAAAACTCCGACGATTAAAATACAGCCTATAGAAATATAGTTTTATCTTATACTTTGCCTGGGTGTGAAATTTGATCTCTCACCGTAAATGAGAGCATACACTGATAACGTTTGAGGACAGGGAGGAAGTAACCTGTGGATGGAATAAATCACATAGGGATAATAAAAATACATAATTTGTCCTAACAAAATTATTAGACTCAACTGATAGGGAAACCTTATTGGGGGGGGGGTCATAAATTAGGCGGAAAGAAGTGAGAATTGTTAGTGTATAATGAAACGTACAATGGTATCAATTTTTGTATACCGCGCGAGACGATGAAATGACGTACTTTGTTGAAAAAAGAAGATGTTTAACACAACACTGTAGTTTTAGTCCCTATATGTTTAATGCTTTTGTAGATGATTTATTATTCAGTAAAGGTAATGTATATACGAGGCGCGTCCTCAAAGTAAGTTTCCCACTCGTCCCACAGCTAGCAAACCTTATATTGCGCGAAGCGACTGTGCGTACGTGATAGAGCAATGACGTAGCATGGCGCATGCACTAACGGCACTTCCCGCGTTCTCACAGTAGCATCGTTGCAGCTGTTGAAGATGGAGGTTCTTATTCCAGCCCCCGCCGACTGTGAAGTGCGGTCAGTGATAACGCTAGGCCGCACACGGCTCGACGGACAGCGAGTCTCCTGCAGGAGTTCAGCTGGGAGGTGTTTGATCATTCACCCTACAGCCCGGACCTCGCTCCCAGTGATTTCCATCTTTTCCTACACCTCAAGAAATTCCTGTCCGGTGAGCGTCAGCGTTTTGAGAATGACAGAGAGGCGGAGATGGTTGTCACACAGTGGTTCCAATCCCAGGCGGCAGACTTCTACGACACAGGTATTCAAAAGTTGGTCCCACGGTATGACCAATGTCTGAATTCCGGTGGCGAATATGTTGAAAAATAGCTGGACACTTGCTGTATCTGTTGCAATAAATATTTCCATGAAATTGTGTTTTGTTTCTGTAAACGACCCCAGGGAAACTTACTTTGAGGACGCGCCTCGTATATACACCAGTAATAGGAAAAGTGGAAATTTGTTGACGATATTTATCCACTTAACTTACTCCTGAAGCAGATGCTCGTCCAAATAGTACTGGAATGGTGTAATTAGTACCGGAATATACACACGTGTTCTTCGCAAATTCTGAATTATCAATAAAAGATTACGTAAGTTGTCTTAACTTAGACAACTTCAGTTTCCAACTATACAAATCCGGATCGAATCCGGGACAAGTGAGGATTATTTTCTTTTATGGAGCCGTCATGTTGTAAGTTCTGTATTTTCAGTAAATATTTCACCACACATCACTGCATGGCCTTACTGCAAGTAAGGTAGTGTCGATTCCACCCCACAGGTTAGTCCGCCATGTTGGTATTACCGTCTGTATAAAACTGGAAAAGCATAATTGAAACTTGGAAAGTACATTGAGTGTGAAAAGCCAAGAACTGAAAAGTACGATTTTAGGGTAATCCCAATGGCGTAACGTCCATACCAAATTTCATCCAAACCCGCCCAGCGGTTCTCGAGTTGAATCATGCGGGATGACTGACATTACCAGCCCCCATGTGCGTCCATTTTATGCACATCGTGCAATGAATGCATAATACTTACTACTTAAGAATTCAGCTCGTACCGCAAAGAAAACATAACTCTTCATATTTACAGGGATCAACTTCTTAATGGCGTTTAAGGAAATAATCGTGACTGAATGACTGGGGTTCGATTTTCGGCAAAGGATCGAACCCATAACTTTTGAATCACAGCCTAAAAATACTTCTGACAATGAGCATATCTCTGTATTGGAAAATCGGACCAGACAGAAAAGTAATTTATCCACGACACAGTACATAAGACGTAGAAAGTTGTAGGCTCATATCAAGACATACCTTTATACAAGAAATTCGGCAATGCTTCTTATCTTGTGTGTAGATTGGAAGTAGACCATCGTAAGGCGAATGGATCCACCTGCCAACAGAAATAAAACTCACTACTAAAATAATAAACAACTACGTATCTACAATATATTCCCAGTAGGTGTCACAGCCCAATTCAAACCTTGACCTTCCCCACTGCATACGGGGGGGTGGAGGATCGAACCACTGATAGGCAACACAAACACTGACAAACATCCAAGTCCAAAGTCGATTGGAATCAATGTGTCGCCCACTAACTAGACTAAGCAATGACTGGTTTCGGAAAATGTGTTTTTCGGCGTGCTTCATGTATTAACTACATCGAGATGGTGTGACGATTATTTCACTTGGATCCAATCTCCCACGAGCTGCCAACTGTAGTAAAGTTCTTAGCAATTTTCCTTACAATCTCCATGAATGCTTGAACAGTGCGTAAAAAGACGGTGGTTGTCTCCTTCTAAAGTATTATTCGCACACTATTCAAGTTCATCAACATGTATCATAACTACTGCAAAAGAAACACATTTTGAGTACAAGGTTTAATGATGAAGATTGCCTGATGACGGAGGCAGTATGACCTCTGAAACGTTGGTGGACATCGACCAGACTACACAGCGCAACAACCCAGAAGACAGAAATCTTCATACTCATCGCCCTGATGACGGAGGCAGTATGACCTCTGAAACGTTGGTTAACATCGACCAGACTACACAGCACAACAACCCAGAAGACAGAACTCTTCGTACTCATCGCCCTGATGACGGAGGCAGTATGACCTCTGAAACATTGGTAAACATCGACCAGACTACACAG